CCCATCTGCGTGAAAGTGGGGGCTGCCCTAGCTCCCCCCCTTGCCATGACTACGGGCAAATGGGTGGAGTTGCTCTTAAGATCATATGATATGAATTGGAAATGAAAAACTTCCGTTTAAAATTGTGGAATGTTCTAGCATTTACTTTTGTGATTCTTATCTTTAACATGTAAAAAAAGTGATTTTACTCATTTTCTTCATGACGTGGACAACTTGTAATAGTTTAATTTTGTTATGTATGACCTTCTAAATTATAATTATAATTACTTTGAATTAAATAAATTCGACCATAATAAAAAAATTTGGTTTAGGAAAAAAATAACTAACTAAAAGGTCATACATAACAAAAATTATACCATATCGATATCAGTCTACCAAAACACAAAGCAACCTAATTTACTCCAAAAGGAAAATTACAAGACCTCTCTAGAATACAAAACGCAAAAGACTTAACATAAAAGCGGTAATAGCAAATCCAAGCTTTAAAAAGTTAAGAGTTGGAGCACTGCTAAAAGTTGAGCTTCGTGAAATCTCTTCAGGATGAGAGGCTGAAGGTGATGAGAATTCATAAGGTGACGGGCATGGACTTAGTATCAAACTTTCTGGAACAGGGAGAGTGACCTTGATGTCAACCTTTTGTCCGGCTTGGCAATGGCCAGGAGCACCACAAAGAAAGTAATAGTGGCCAGGCCTTTTAAGGGTTACGGTGTCAGAGCCAGAGGTGTATGTTGAGATAGCAGATGCATTGCAAGATTCAAAGTCTTGACCAGAAACTTGCATCACGTTGTGGAATTGATTGTTGTAAGCAAAAATTAGCATGTCACCGACATGAAAATCTTTCATTGAAGCCCACTTGTTGTAATCAACAAGTCCTCTCGAAGTCCAGCCATCAGAGTCTCCAACTCTATAAACAACACCAGAACAAGCACCACAAAAAGCCATCATCACAAGGAAAACAAGAGCAGCAATGTTTCTCAAAGCCATGACTGAAAAAGCACAGCGGACAAAAAACCAAGAGGAGCGAAAAACAAATTGAGAGTTGAAGAAGAAAGCTCCAATTTTTCGTGTGAAGTACTATGCACGACCTTGCATATAATATACATATATATAGAGGCTGGTTTTATCCTTGTCCAGTTCTGAAAAGGTTTCTCAAATACTACCATTTGTTTTAGGTCAAAGGTTTCCATATACTACTAGTAGTAGGAAATATAACATCTTTTCATGATTGGATTAATATAAGAAGGCGCAAGGCCCATTTTGTTTTATTGGAAAAACAAAACAAAAAAATCCAGGAATTCATCCAACAATAAGAAAAGCCTTTATCAAACGAAACAAAATGTATAAGACTTATATAAAGTTAAAAGTTTAGTTGGAATCTGACCAAAATAGAGAGGGCAATGTTATTACTAAAAATAAGGTACTTGAACTGACTTTCTATTATTTAATAAATTACATATTCCAGAAACTTGTTAAACAATGATTAAATTCTCAAAACTCTTTTGAGTTTTTGTTTATGAGCAAAAAAGCCCTGTTATTTTGGGTAAACATACCCCAGCTTGGATCACATGGTAACGCTTCAATTTTTATATCAATGTTCTACAATTTATTTATTTATTTATTTATTTTTATTTTTTACATCAATGTTCTATAATTCTGTGTTATCTCATCTTGGTTGTTTCTAAGGAAATTGAGGTTCCACCCCAAAACCAATTGCAATGGGAGGAATAGTCCAACTTCTTATAAACCCTTTCAAGGTAATCTAACTTTCCAATGTGTTACTTTTTTTTTACCTTCACATTTTCACACGCCCCGCACGTGTGGCCTAACACGTGGGCAATACGTATTGGGTGACCTTTAGTACATGTGGCCGTTGGGCTTTCCACGTGGGCAACTTGGCTCTGACATGAAGAAAGTTGAGGTTCCATCCCAAAATTAATTGGCAATGGGAGAGTAGCCCAACTTTTTATAAGCTCTTATAATGTTTTCGAACTTTCCAATTGTGAGACTTTTTTTACCTTCACATTCTCAAAGCTTTCACTCCCTTCACTTTCGAGTGTTTTTCTTCCATTTTTAAATTTTCTTTCTATTTGGGTGTTTTGAAAACACATTCTTTGGTGGGGTTGTTGGCTAAATCCTTTTTTTATTTTTTTTAATTTCAAAGATGTACACTTTACATCATAAGATTACTGACGAGTTACTAAGATCAGATATATGATATGACTTGGAAATGGAATATTAATGGAAAACTTCGATTTATTTTTAATAGACTTTCTTTTGAATGGTGAATTGTTGAATCATCAAGTAATTATACTTGTGTGATTCTTTAAACATGTATATACAAAAAGTGATTTTACTCAATTTCTTTCTGATCTGATAGGAACTTTATATAGTTTGATTTTTATGTTTTTCCCATTGTGCCAATATTGATCTAACTAGCCTGCAATTTTCATGCATGGGATTAGCATGATTAACGTATATACAAAGACGCCTTCAACCATAACTACACATTTACTTAGAGTTTTATTTTATTTTTTATTTTTTTGTACTAAAGGAATTCATTTAAACTAAGTAAATAAAACTTCATACATAACAAAAATTATCTACCCACAATTAGTACCACATCCGTGGACCAAAACACAAAGCAACCTAATTTACTCCAAAAGAAAATTACAACAACTTTCTAAAACACAAAACCCAAAAGACCTAACATAAAAGCAGTAACAGCAAATCCAAGCTTGCAAGAGTTCAGAGTTGGAGCACTGCTTAGAGTTGACCTTGGTGACATCTCTTCTTGATGAGAGGCTGAAGATGAGGATCCATAAGGTGATGGGCTTGGACTTGGGATCAAACTTTCTGGAACAGGCAGAGTGACCTTGATGTCAACCTTTTGTCCGGCTTGGCAATGGCCAGGAGCACCACAAAGAAAGTAAAAGTGGCCGGGCCTTTTGAGGGTGAAGGTGTCAGAGCCAGAGGTGTATGTTGCGATAGCAGACGTCGCATTGCAAGATTGAAAGTCTTGATCAGAGACTTGCATCACGTTGTGGAATTGATTGTTGTAAGCAAAAATAAGGGTGTCGCCGACGTGAAAATCTTTCCTTGAAGCCCACTTGTTGTAATCAACAAGACCTCTTGAAGTCCAGCCATCAGAATCACCAACCCTATAAACAGCACCAGAACAAGCACCACACAAAACCATCATCACAAACAAAACCAGAGCAGCAATGTTTCTCAAAGCCATGACTGAAAAAGCAGAGCAGAAGGAAAAAACAAGAGGAGCAAAAAACAAATTGAGAATCGAAGAACAAGGCTCAAATTATTTTTCTGTGCGAAAGGGTCAATGCACGACCATGCATATTTATAGGGTGTGTTTTTATCCTTGTCCATTGCTGAAATGGTTTCCAACTACAAGTTGTAATAGGACATGTCAAAAAGGCCCAAGGCTGATTTGAGGCCCATGGTTCAGGCCCATTAAGAGACTAAGGCCCATACAAAAACTCCACCTACAAATCTAAGCACCACCAAATCAGATCAAAATTCACTCCAATTTTCTCGCGTTTTCTCACCAAATTTTCCTTCTTCTTCGTCTTCCCCAATGGCCACCACCTCGTTCCTCTCGAGCTTGAAGTACTCAGACGGCCTAACAGTGGTGGGCATCTCGTTCTGCACCGCCATAGTCTGCGAGGCGATCTCATGGGTCCTCATCTACCGCACCAACTCCTACAAGTCCCTCCGCTCCTCCATTGACAAAGCCGCGAAGAAGCTCGAGACCATGAAGACCGATCCGGCCATCAAAATCGCCAAGAAGTCCAAGACCAAGAAGATCGACCGGGTAGAGACGAGCTTGAAAGAATCGAGCCGCGACCTCTCGCTCTTCAAGTTCAAATCCGGCGCCGTCGTCGCGCTCGTGCTGTTCGTCGTCTTTGGGCTGCTCAACTCGCTGTTTGAGGGGAAGGTGGTGGCCAAATTACCGTTTAAGCCCTTTGGGTTGGTGATGAAGATGAGCCACAGAGGGTTGCAAGGGGAAGATTCGACGGACTGTTCGATGGCGTTTTTGTACTTCCTCTGCTCGATTAGCATTCGGACAAATTTGCAGAAGTTCTTAGGCTTCTCGCCTCCGAGAGGTGCCAGTTCCGGGTTGTTCCCCATGCCCGACCCGAAAACCAATTGATGGGTCCATGGCTCGGGGCTCCACTGCACACTGGGTTTGTTCTAAATCTTAGTTTTACTTATTGCTAGGTTCTCATTGTTATTGTTCTAATTAGTGTTGTAGTTCTCTAATGACAATTAAGTTGAATTTGAGCTGCTTTATAATTTTCTCATCATTGGGTCTCTAAAAAAGGGACGAATTTTACTCCTTTTGTTATTCTTTTCCATTTGTTTCAGTGAATTGCATGATTTCAGGTCCTTTATTAACAAAGATTTTAAAGTTTTTCAGTAACTAGTTAAGATGGGAACATTTTCTATGTAGTAGAAGATGCTCAAAATGCTGCTATTTTGAACTGACTTCATTTCTGTCAGTTCTGTGCCAATGAGTATAAATAGTTCTTATGGGTCAACTTATGGGTTGCTCAATGTATTTACTATGAATCTGAATCAATTGAAATCTGTTCTTTAATTATCTGAAAGTTTTTGTTAATGCAAAGTGTAATTGAGTCTCCTTATGTTTCTTTCAGCCATTGGGTTTCCTTTTATAAGCTGGTGTGTGTTTAGTCCTAATCTCTGGAATTGGATTCTTTCTCTTGAGTGCTGTATTTAATCGTAGTTGTCATAGTCATTGTAGCTTTAGCCTTGTATTTTGAATGAGTTGTTTCGTTGAACACGATCAACAACGCTTTTCTTGTATTCTTAAATCGAAATGTCTTCAACATTTCCATGAGAATTCTAAACAATGGCCTACAATGGTTTGCACAATTTTTTCATGTTCGTCGTCGTGACGGTTTCGCTTTTTGAATTGATTCTTGAAGAAGTAATACAAGGGGATACAGACACACACATGTATTTGGGTACCATAGTGCATAAATTCTGGGTATCAATGTCCACTTTCTGGCATTTGCTGGGGATATGCTAGGTTGCTTAAGAGGCAAGGTTTGGTTTTAAGGCCTACTCCGGTTGCAGCCTGTTTAGATTTATAGGAAAGTGGAATGATGGCGTGAGAGTTTATATGATTACTTATGAGAGTTTCATTGTTGATAAGAGTTGCAGACCAGGACTCTTCATGATCAGCCTAAACTCAACAGGAAAACAACCAGAAACAGGAGAGTCTATTTCTAGTATTAAGAATTTTTGCCATCCAATTGTGGCACGATTTTTGCATTCTCAACCTTCTGTCAAATATTATTGGTTATTTATATTAGAATTTGCTGTGTTCAACGAGAGCAAATGGTGAGCAAAGAAATCTGGCCAATAATAAAAAATAGAAAAAACAAGATGTAGGATGTAAAAGGTATGATAGAAAACGAAGTCTAGTATAATTAAAATCATGGTTTGTAGATAAGTGATCTCATATTCGAACTCCTGTGGCACATTGACAGTGTGCGTGAGAAACTATCCTCCTTCAATATCGCTTGTATGAAAAATAAATATTATTTTAATATTCTTGTTTAAAGTAAGAGCCCAAGAAATTGAAATGGACTTCTAGAGTATCATCATCCATACCTCAATTAATCATAAACCCAAGACCACGAAAATGTCTATGCTGGCCATAGCTCAATTTAATTTCCTTTTTCTTGTCTTTGTGGGCCTCAATTGCTAGCTTAGTACTTGTAACTGCATATCCTATCTTCCCACATCATCCACAAATCGTACGTCTTGGTTAAAACCTCTGATTTCTCAGCTTTTTCCTTGTCAAAAAAAATATGTACCATTTCTACAACTAGCTTGTAGACAAGAATTTGAAGGCCGTTGTTAGAAGGTTCTTTGTGGCATTTATGGAATCTTTTGGAGTAATGTAATATATTGGCAATTAATTAGAGGGTGCGTGGTGAAGGAAAAAAAAAATCCAAGCAGAGCTCAGCATAGCTTAAGTTTGAAGCTAACTTTTTCTGTGAGTTGGGCCAACGCAGTGGCAAGTCTTGTAGTTCAGTTAGAGAATCACATCTTGTGGTTCACCTAGAACCAGACATTTTGATTAGGAGGGGTTTACTTAACAAGTCAATTAATAGTTAAACCAAGTGAAGATAGTCTTGCGGCTGTTTTAATAGATTCACATTCGAACACTAAGAATATTATACACTGCAAGGGGCTTGTAGCTCAGTGATTAAGAGCATTTATCATTGCACCTGAGATCTTAGTTCGGCTGTTTCAATATGTTGGTCTATTAATGAAATCAGTTGAACGAAAGAGGAATAAGCCAAACTTGTTTGGTTATATTCACTTAACTCCTGCACACTCACCCGAGGGTCTGACTAAACCTCTTAATGAAATCACTTTAAAAAAAAAAATTGGTATAAACAAGAAGATGATCTATTCGGAGGAACCCCGGCCGATATATGGTTGATGGAGAGAAACTCTTGAGTTTTGTGTAACACAATATAATTGCTTAAAGAGAGAAGCTTTCTCACACTGTTTTGCTTAAAGACAAAAGCATTTGAAGGCCGTTGGATGCATCAGATAGCATTTATGTCTATCCTCTTTGCAAGTAATATTAGAAATGAAGAACGTGGCGAAGTAAAAATCCAAAACCAGATTTGCATGGCTTAAGCTTGAAGCTAACTTTTTCTGTGGGCAGGGCCAACGGAGAAGCAAGTATTGTACTTCAATTAGAGAACAAGACATCTTAGTTAAGAGTGAAAAACGTGACCAAACCCTACACTTGAAAAGGTTATGCAAAAAATTATTGTGTGAATCTAGACAGAGTAATCTAGAGAAGGGAGATGTTATTTGCACTTTAAAATAAGACTTCATTTTAAAAAAAAAAAAATTAATAAGGTTATTCTAAAAATAAATAAATTCTCGATATATTGTTCAAACGCAAAAAAATAATAATAATAATAAAGGGAAGTGTTTGAAATGCACCTATACATTTGAAACTTCACCACATTATCTGAAAATTACAGTGTACAAAACATTCACCCCTTCTCAATTTACCCTTTGCCAAAGTGTTCGTTGATGACATAGGCATTATATTGCCTGTATTAATGAAATTTGTTGAGTGAAATAGGAAGGAGACAAACTTGTTTGGTTATATTCTCTTAACTCCATACATTCACCCGAGGTGATAATTTAGAATCTTATTTATGTGTATTAAGACAAGAATACTTCTCTCTTTTTCTAGTACAACTCAAGCACATGAGCATTGAGAGGCCTTTTGAAGTAAACCACTGGCAAGAGCATTGAGATTCTTTTCAATTTGAGATGTATATGATGAAATTGGGAAGAATAATATTCTAAGATGGTAATTTTCAAAAACTCTCCAACCATCTTATCAGTGTTGTTGTTTTCCAAAAGTTTAGAGAAAGAGAATATATGTCCATGTTGAGAGTATACAAATGATATTGATCTTTTTTTGCCCATTTCTAATTGGTGTTGGGCGACTCACATTATACGTATTATGCTCGATGACTGCACATGTTTCCATGTCACTGAATATGAATTGTCCACATGTTTGGCATGAGCGAATATGTTGAGAGTGTAAATCTTTGCATAAGAGTTTAATGATCTTGGGTCACTAATTAGTTTTAGATTGGATGATCACATTCTAAAAGTACACATATCATCAATCTCGATTGCAAGAGGGTTTTTTGGGTATTCATTCAACATGGCATGATCTAGCGTGGCTGACTTACGTTCCCGGACAATGCAAGTGTATCCTTTTATAGTTTGATATTAATGTTATAAGTATGGAGACATACTGCTCTTTCAACTAGGAATATCCGTCCATGATTGTAACTATGAGATATAGAATCCAAAACTTAAGTAAATAAAATAATAATACTAGAGACACCAACTAATATGCAATTTCTTGTATGTTGTTTCAAAGTGGTTCACATCAGTTGGTGTCCAAAAATTGGTATAAGTAGTGATGTCGCTATAGTATTTCTCCCAATAAAACCATGATTTTTGAGAAACAATTACTACTAGTATTTAATGATGATGATGTTCTTTAACTATTTTAAAATGTATAATACAGTTAAAAATAATCTTCGAACCTTTTTTTTTTTTTTTTTTTTGCTTATCAGATTTAGGAGCTTCTTTCTTGTGTAGATGTGTGTGTGTGTGTGTGTGTATATATATGTGTGTTAATTACTTCAGGATCATGAATGAAACCAATCTGAGCTTTTAATAACTAAGTATTTATATATGTTAAATAAGTTTACTTATTTTACATATATTTAGGATATTTCCTTATACAATTAGGGCTTTAATACTTTCCTTATTCTTCTATATAAACCTCCTTATCGAGAAAAATACATATAACATACAGAAAATTCCCCAAATATTTTAGCAATATAAGGCTACAAATCTACAAGCAGCCTTGCTATGGCACACAATTCCTATACCGTACAATTAGCAGCTGGCTTTGCCGTGGTGAGTCTCCAGCAAGTGAAGCCGAGGTTATATACATTACATTAGTCTGTTTTTCTTGGTGGAACCCAGGTTAGTCTCTCTCTCCTCGCCATGTAGCCCACGTGTCATGACGCCAACTCACCCCTAATGCATGCAGCTTGTACAACTCTTCACTTCTCCTCCCACGTTTGCCTTCAAACCCTAACCCAGACCTCATCTTCAGCTTCAAATTAGATTCCTTACCAATTTACATTAACCCCTTCCTTAATTCAAATACTAAAAGACCCAAAAACCCCTCACTTTTAACCCAGTAGGCCCCACCCATGCAACCCTTAATTAACCTATACCTTTCCCCTTTATATGCCCTCCTCCTCCTCCTCCTTCAGTAAGTGCTAGCTAGTAACCAAGCTCCATAGCTCACCTCTTTCTATTATCTCTCTCCTTCCTTCTTCTTCTGGCCTTCTAATTTCTGTCCCATCTCAAAAAACCAAAATGTTTAACCCTTACAGGTCCTCAGCTCAAAGCTCAAGCACTGCCCCAAACCTCCCAATCACCGCAAATACCCCAATTACTCCATCAACGGATTCAATCCCAATTAGGTTCCCCTTGTCACCAGTTCTTGGTGCATGCCTCAGCTTCCATACCGTTCAGTCTGGTGATTCCTGCAGGTACTCATGTACTTCTTGCGACAAGGTCTTCTCCACCACTCAGGCCCTCGGAGGCCACCAGAACGCTCACCGTAAGGAGCGGAATGCGTTGTTTGCTCGCGAGCAGCAGCGCGCTGC